CAATGTCAGAACTCCCCTTGGAACTGACATTTCATTGCTAACACGTACAACGTTTGGATGGTAAGAATAAAATAAAATGTTAATAAGCAAAGATTGGCCATGCCAAAGATTTACATAAAGCTTAATTTCACAAAAGAGAATTGTTTTTCATTTATAAGCATTTCAAAGAGATAACATACATGGAGAATGTTCTTTTTCTCAGCTTAATCTCAAAATAACTTTATGATGAAAATAGTGACTAAAGAATGCACTGCGTAGAAGAACTAAACATTTGAAACAGAAGTTTATTCCTGAATTATTAAATCACTTATGTTGCAAATTTTGAACTAATCAAAGTAAAAAATAACAGCAAAGAAAAGAATTAACTCAATCCTGCTTCACTGCCTGAGTCTACTAAAGGAATATACTACTGACATACTACTAAAATAATTGGAATAAATAGCTTACATGGTGTTTTTAACTTAGCTTATAGGAAATTAGAATTGTGCCTCACATAGGTCTGCAATACAGACTTATCTTCACACAAAGACACACAAGGGTTAATTGGAAAAGATGATCAGTAGTAATACAAAGAGTTATTTCATCTTATTAGTGATTCTATCACAGCATTCTGTGTAATGTGTTTTGCTTTATGTGTCACTTGAGTGAGGAGCCTCATTTGAGTGAACACAAAAATAGAATATCACTGTACTATGTAAGTTAATGTTCTGAAAAGATGCTGCTGTAAATGAGATAAAATTCTAGAACATGGGTATTCTCTTGAATAGTTTTTTGTATCTGCTAAAGTTAACATGCTAAACCAAGGCTACATTGTAAGAAGAAGGCATGCGGTAGGTATATAAAAAGACATGAGTAAGTTCCATGACTCACCTCCCAAAGTACACAGTTGCCTATATGTATTACACACCTAAAAGCAACTTGTACATTCACATACCAAATTTGTGCTTGTAGTCATACAACTTCTCTCCTGAAAATGTGACCATTTTCAATTATCACCAGTTGCAAATCTTGAAGGCAACAAAAGAATAAACCATATTGTGCACAGAATAAAAAATAATTAAAAAAAAAAAAATCCCCTTTGGGACTACAGGAATCCTATGTCATTTCCTGGTCTGGAATTTAAAACTGGCACTAATCAATTTCAAAGGACATTTTCAGTCAGCCCTGTAATGCACATTTCCATACTTCTCCATTGGGACTCCTAAACATTTCCTCTACTTACTCATGGTAGAGTTGTTCCTTTATCCCAGGCACTAGATATTTCTGTCCTGGTTTCCAAAGACTCCACTACTAGCTATGGTATCTGTATCTACATGTTTATAAAGACAACACTGTACAGAAAAGTAAATGTGATATGCACTTCTGTGGAGCCAGTCAAAAAAGCTCCACTGTATCTTATTATTAGCGGGGGAAAATACTGAGTTTGGGCAAGTCATAGTGGGCAAAGTCTAAAACAGATGTCGTTCTTCCGTCTGAAGAGGTTGGTATTAGAGGATCTGAAAGGTTCCTGACTGGACTATGATGGAATATGAACACTATAGCTCAATCAGAAGCTGGAAGGATCATCATTTTTAAAGGAAATGTATTTTAAATGGAAGTGTAAAACAATTCTGTCAAAATAAATATGACATAAAAAGCAGGATTTGCAAGCTAAATGTTAATGAAGATTCATACAATCTACTAGAAAATAATGGTAACGGTACTGTGATAGTGAAATCCTTTAAAAAAAAGGTAGTTTGCAAATAATAATTTTAAGACCCCTGATTTCACGTTTTAAAAATTATTTTTAAGTGCTGCATCATACCTTCTAAAATAGATAGAGAATGGTAGATAGAAGATAAAGATACAAGATAAAGACACAAAGATAAAAAAGATAAAAAAGAATGGTTAGATGCTCTGGAGAAATATATAAATATACATACATATATATGCATAATTTGCTCCATTTTTATGCTCTTCCATAAATGTCTGCTTTTGGCCACTGTCACATCAGTATGCTGGGTTAGGTGGACTTGTAGTCTGAGCCAGAACACCTAGTAAGTTCTTATTTATCTTTTCACATGTGCTAGCTCACCTGGCATCCTAGTGTATGTGCTGTTATAATTCCCTTTTGTATGATGACAGCTATTTCTTAAATTTCCAAAGGTGTTGCATGTTGTATGGGTTTGGTTAATATCCAAAACACTGTTTATAGTTGCGTTGTGAAGCACCTTAAACAAATTCCATTGAGGTTTCAGAAGCAGCATGAATGGCTGCTGAAAGCTATCCTGAAGTATAGTCCTAGGCAGACTGTCCACTGACAAAGTACCTTTGACCATGTCGTTTTGCCCATCAGAGTTGTAGAAAACCTAGTAAATGTTAAACTTCAAAGGGACAGAGGAATACACTTGATGTTGAGGCTCACACTGAGTTCAAGCAAGCACCTGTGGCAATTTAAATGCATCTGTAGCTTCCTGACTGTCCAGTCTCTTCTTTTATGGTTATTAACATTTACCAAGAGTGATATATAAGAGAATTTGTATAGTTCAGTTACCTGAAATTCACTTATCCAGTGTCCTGGTGCAAACCCATTTTCATGAGACCAAGACTGGGGCAGCTGGGCCTGGGAACACATTTGAACCTGCCATCCTCACTTCAGAGTGAGAAACCTCTAGCAAAGAAGTCAGCATCAGGATTTTAGCATTCTCAAATGGAAGAGAAATTAATGACTTTGGTTGAAGTTCTCCACATAAAGCAGTGCCAGTTTCTCACTGGTAAAACCCTGCAAGAAGGATGTGGATATATTTTAGTAAATTGTACTTAGCTGTGAAATGTCAGGGAAGAGAGCTTGGACATTTTACACCCTACTGGCATCCTCTTTTAACATGATGCTATTTACTAAATGACTGTCTGTTGTAATCAGAAATGTTAAATTTATAAAAGTAATTTTCCTGGAGACATTTTCAATTCTTGTTACAATGAAGGCTTGTAAGAAAGGATAAGCAAGCAGATGTAGACACGAACCGAGTTCTAGCTTTCTAGCTACAAAGGTTTGCATTTCTAAAAGGGGAAATTGTGTTAAGCAGCATGATTCATTCTATAGTGCAGGAGTCTCCCCCAGTAACAGGCAGATCTGTACACTTTCCAAGCTGTATATTCAAGTCAGTTGACTGGACAGCTACAGATCACACTAGTGTGCAACTCAAAGTGGACTGGAAAATACCCTGTCTACTTTAAAAAAGCCATGTTGAACAGCTAGGACTGATGGTGCACAAATAGGGCATGGTTTACTTCTTAGCTATGTAATCAGCATTTAAATTCTAGATTTGTACTCCTTTGAGGCTCTTTTTTCAACTCTACGTTGCACTTCTATCAAATTCTGGTTTTCCACTGGTATGGCCTGTCTTACAGATTTTTTATTTTTTTACCCTAAGATATTAATTTGGGCTTTTCTTCATGTGCAATTTGTAGCACAAACTTCTATAAAAAGTTGTGCTTCCAAGAGGTGAATTCAACTGAATAATTAAACAAATTTATTTATTAATGTTTTTCTAAATTATCTGAGATGGAAATGTAGTGAAGCACCTTGTAGTATGAGCCACAAAGTAGGAATTATTATAATTTATTACTCAAAAATGTATTTTTATCTCTTTCACAACTGATCTTATTTTGTGTGATATATAATAGTAAATACATTTGCCATTGCATTGATAGCATTTATATACACTCAGAAGCTGGCAGGTACTTTTACCAAGCTACAATATAAAGATGGATGAAACAATTATTCATCTTAAAAAGTCAGTTAAATAAAAAATGTCAGTGTGACAGTTCCCACCCACAATGCACAAGATGCATTAATCAACCATATGTAGTTAAGAAAGGAGCAGTAAACAGAAAATACAAATATTTTTGTGCAGTTTTATATCTACGTTTGTGAGAAAGGTTATAGTAAAAACACACACGCGCCTTAGTTTGGTTCTTCAAATTCAGCTAATTATCAAAAAAACATATAGCTATTTCTGAGTATTATCCTAAACATTTAACTCTGGATCCCTATGCATAGTACTACCGCTTCTCTATAAAACCTAGATTGTCTTATTAAATTTTACTCTGGTTCTGCAAACCCACCTGCTTTTTCTTTTTCTGTTCTGTCTTCATATTAACAAGCAACAGCAATGAGGCCTGCTCTCCTCTCTTACTAGCTCTCAGATTGAGTGATGGTTACTGTCATTTGGTGCTTTTTAGGTGCTGCTTTTACTTTTGCTTGGATTCCTGCATTTTCTACTGAAATAACCCTTCTGAACACTGAGGCACATAGGAATGCCTTAGATGAAAGCATGACGTCTCTAAAGGGCTGAGTATATTCTTGGATGTGTAGCTGAGTTTAAGAGAGCAACACAGCAGTATGATGCAGAAAAGAATTCAAGGTCCAGCTGTTTCACTGCCCATGTCCTTGTAAGGAAATGCCTCTATATCGTAATAAATCACTTCTCTTTCCTTTTATGCCATCTTTTATAAAAAGCTGATTGTCTTAAAGATATAATAAAACAGAGAACAATATTACAGTAAATTTCAGCCACATCCTGAATGAACGTGAACTTTGGAATCACAAGTTTCAGGGGAATTTGTTAACTTAGGTGTGTTTTTTATTTTCTTGCAGTTTAAGCAACAACACAGAACTGAATGTACATCAAAAGAAATTCAGAGCTGAACTAACAGCATTCCAAATTCAGAGCTCTTCTACTCTACTGTTGAAATCTGTGTATCAAGAAAAATATGTGCTAGAATCACTTATATACGTTAGTTTCTTAGTATGTTTAAATACTGCAAAGAAAGGAGCTCTATTATTTACTGTAGTTGAATATTATGAAAAAAATAAATATTTTATTCCTATGACTATTGATTCTACACTTACCTGCAATATTCTGTCAGAATCTTCAGGCTAATACCCACCCCTTTGAACAATGTCGTTCCATTTGTCAAGTTGATTGCATTGATACACAGTGTATTTTGCCTTGCAGGTGGTACTGTGAAGGGAAAGA